CCTTCTACAATGTTAATGTTACAATGATGTGATTTATTTTACTTCTAATAAACATGCTTATTTTTGCTCTAATGTAAAGGAGTAGAAAAAGAGTTGATTGTAATTTGTATGTTGCAGTTTCACCTTCCTTATGACTTCAATAAACCTGTGGACAAGGAGTCATCTGTCTTCAGAGTCTTGATGTTAAGGAGGCGTTTAACTGACTGTCAAGTCATATCAAGTACATGTGATGAGGACAGCACATTCCTAAAACCCTCCTGTTTTTTTCTGCAACTGCCCATAATTTAGGAATTAGGCTAAAATCCAAGATTGCAGAATGTATGGTGTCTCTGTTCAGTTTTTATCTGTTTTAGGGATTTTACTGTTTTATTTGCTGGTGTCATTTGACTGTTTTACTCATGACTGTATGCATAACAAGCTTTTATCACTCTTATTCCAACAAGCAGAGGACTTGGAAGGTTTTTGTGTCTATCTTGGAAAGATACTTTGAGCCTGAGGACTACCTTAATCCACCCAGCCCTGAGGCCTACTCCCCACAGCAGTGTGTTGCAGTGAACTTGAAGCAGACATTTTTGATTTATGCTCAATTTTGAGCATGGTCTGTGTTATCTGCTGTGGGTCTAGATACGGCCGAGGCGGTAGGGAAGTGGGGGCAGGTTTGTCCGACAACGGAGGGACATGAGGGCCTAAAAGCCCGGGGATCCAGGTGTAAAAATGGTCCCAGCGTTCTCACGCACCTCGCTCTTCTAGCTGATCTAACTTCACGAGTCTTTTTCCGCAATGGCGGTCATACAAATAAAACAAGCCGGCAAGCGGGTGCAGATTTGACCAAGCAAAGGCTTCCTGTCTGCGGCATGGTCTGCGGTCACCTACAATTTGGGAGAGGTGCAACAGAGTGTCTGCGGTGGGGGCAGGGATGTCTTTTTGTTCAATGCGACACCTACGCAAGACGATCTAGTTTTTAAGTATAAATCAGGCTTAAGCCTGCTACAGTGGGCATTCTGCTGAAACTAAGTTGATGACAGTGCCATTTCCACTCAGGTGCTCTTAACTACTTCTAATTCCTGTCGTAGATGAATAGTGACTGTTTTTAATAGTAGTTTTACTTGCAAGCAGTTGCCTGTACCCTCGTATAGTAGCTTTGAGCTGAGCCTATTTGAACTTGGCAGCTCTCACACTGTGTTGTGTGCTGCACTCTATCGGCCATCAAAGTATAACAAAAACATGCCAAAATATGACCGAGTTCTCTTTTTTGGTGATTTTAATATTCATGTCTGCTGTCCCACTTCACCTATGGCTCAGTCATTTTTTAATGTTATTGATTCTTATAATTTTGTGCAGTGTGACTGGTGCTACTCATCAGCATGGTCACACTCTTGATTTAGTTTTATCTTATGGCCTACTAGTCTTTAACTTAGAAATAGGTGACTCATTCTTTTCTGACCATATGCCTATTTTATATGAGATAATGCTGTCCCGTGGAAAAGCTAAAACTCGAGCCACAGCTCGGCTTTGTCATTTTTTTAACCCTACTACTGCTGGTCACTTTTCTTCTGTTTTTAATCAGAACTGTACCATTCCAGAGGCTGTGGGAAATAACACTGAGGAACTCAGCAACTGGTTTTATTCTACCACTAAAGCAGCCTTGGATTTGGTGGCACCACTAAAAATTAGACTTCCAAAACCCAAGCGTGAACCCTGGTTAAATAAGGTCACTCGGGCTGCCAGGAGAGACTGCTGGAGAGCAGAATGCAAATAGAGAAAAGACAAATTACAGGTGACTCTCCAAATATTAAAGGAATGTTGGCGCCGTTATCAAGGGATTGCAAAAAGCAGCCAAAGAAAATACCTGTTGGGTTTGATTGTATCAAATAGTCATAATCCTGCTATCCTATTTAAAATTATTAACTCTGTTCTAAATGATTCATATAGTGGTTTTATGGAGACCTCCCCTTGCTGCATGTGAAAACTTCTTACACTGGAAAGTCGTTTCCATTAGGGCCCAGATTATCGCTTCTTCTTATGATCTTTCAGTTGTGGTGCCTTGTTCTGGTGTTTTCCACAGCTTTGAATGTGTGAACTTGAAATCATTGCAGGAGGTGGTTAGTCACTTAAGACCAGCTCGTTCTCCAGATGATGTTATTTTGCCCCAATTATTTAAAGAAGTTTTCTCTACTATAGGTCCTTCTGTCGTTGCTCTTTTAAATAGTAGCTTGTCCTCATGCGTTGTTCCTAAAACTCTGAAACATGCAGTTCTGCAGCCTCTACTTAAGAAACCAGTTTTGGATCCTACTGTTCTGGCAAATTATCGACCTATCTCTAAATTGCCTTTTATTCCAAAATTTCTTGAGAAGGTAGTCTGTAATCAGCTAATGGCTTATCTTAATAAACATAAAATATTAGAGGTTTTTCAGTCTGGTTTAAAACCACTTCATGGCACAGAGTCAACTCTTTTAAAGGTTTTTAATGATATACTTTGAGCAACTGACTCAGGTGACGTTGTTGTTTTGGTGCTGTTGGATTTATCATCACCTTTTGATACAGTTGATCATGTCATTTTACTTTCCCGTCTGGAACAGTGGGTGGGCATCGGTCACTTTACTTTTACTGTTGTCTGGAAATGTGCAACCAAATCCTAGACCTGTCATAATCCTGGCGCTGATGGTTGTTTTTTTTTTTTCCTCTGCTCCTGCTCACCTGCCTAATTGACCCTGTGGCAGATTACTGCCAATCTGATTCACCTGGTCCCTGCAGCTATTTAGGCTGTTTGCTTTCCTGCCATCAGCATCGGATTTTTCAACCTGTGTCAGTTACCAAAGCTTTCAAAGTTAGTGTTCTGTTCTGTGGAATTCTTCTCAGGTTTTTGCCCATGTGTTTTTGGTTTTTGCCTTTTTCCCTGTCTGCCCTGCTCAGTTTGTTTTTTGGCCTGGCTGCCTGTATTTTGCCTGTTATCGAACTTGGACTGTTTTTCTGACCTCTGCTTGGATACCTCTTCAGCTCTCGAATCACCTGGTTTCTGACACTGCTCTGGACTGGTTTTCGGCCTCGCATAATCCTTCACGGACACTGTAGCTCACTCTGCGTCGGCTGGCGCCGGCTCCGTGGCACTCTGTTCTCTGAGGCGGTAACGACTGCAAGCAGTGGATTGTCTTCCCCCGAGTTTCGGACTTAACTCTCAACCAGGTCAGCTACATTTTGTCTTCTCCACTCTTCATTCTTGTCACTGACCTGAGTTTCCTGTCTCAGCAGAGAATCAGAGAACCCGCTCTGAGGAGTTTCCATCGTCCTCTTTCTGTTATCTTTGAAATAAACCTGTTTTAAAACTTTATGTTTGTCTGCTGAATATTGGGTCCAAGCTTCAGTGCGTGTTACAAGACCTGAGCTTTAATGCTTCCAGACACCCTCTGATTGTAAGTCACTAGCTGGTCTTAAATATGTGTGTCTTAATTTACAGAGCTTACTCCCAAATATGGACATGGTCAGAATTTGGGTGGAAACAACAGGTGCAGATGCTGTTTTGATCTCAGAAACTTGGCTTACTAAGTCTATTACTAATTAAGACATTTATATCATGGGGTATAATCTCTACTGTACTGATAGGCTGAAAAAAGATGGGGGTGTTGGTATTTATGTCAATTCCAGACACATTTTAATTGTTTATCAGTCAATTAGTAAATGAAGACAATTTGTGGCCTTGGAATCTACATACTACTGTGGCTGGGTGTTACAGGCCTCCATCTGCTTCAAAAGAGGCATCAGTTAAATTACACTGAACTGCTTTTGGGGTTAAGAGTCTTTCTCAGGGATCCAGAGTGGCAGTCTGTGGGGTTGAGGCTTGAACCCTAACAACGAGGCCTCCACTCCCCCTGTCCAGATCAATCTACCTTGATTGACTTAATCTTAACTAATGTGCCTCATAAGTTCTATTCCTTGGGTGTTTTCTGCAATGACCTAAGCGATCATTGTGTGGTTGCAGCATGTAGAATTACTAGGATTCCAAAATGCAAACCCCTTATTTTTAGCAGAAGGAGTCTTAAAACTTATGAGCAAGCCTTATATCAAAATTTGTACTTAAAGACTCCGTGCCTGTTTATGATTCAGCTGAAGCCTTGAATTGTTTTAACCAGCATTCTTTATTGTCTGGTTCTCTATTTGATTCAAAAGGGACAACTCACGGGAATATTTGAACAGAATCTCCCATGTTTTCTGGAGATCCTTTTAATGCTGCTCCTTTGACTTGTCACAAAGTACATAAAGCTTTAAGAACATTAGACCACAGAAAGGCCCCTGGACCTGACTTGCTTGAGGCTGGCTTCTTAAAACTGGCAGCTGATTTCAGGGCAGAACCACTGTCCATTAATTTTAATCTTTCAATTGAACACGAGGACATCCCATCTTTTTGGAAAGCTGCCTCTGTTCTTTTATTAAAATGAGGTGATCCATCAGTTCTTACCAATTATAGGCCTATTTTAATTGTATGGGTTTTATTCAAAATTCTGGAGTCTCTTGTGATAAATTGAAAGAGTTCCTACATTAAAATTCGTTTCTAAATATCAATTATGTTTCAAAAACAAACATAGCTCTATCACTGCTGCTATGCTTTGACCGTTTGAAAGCTTTTGACACTTGATATGTTGTTTTTATGTACCTGTCATTTAATTTAATGTATTTCTGTTTAGTATAACTTTGCTGCGTCTTGGTCAGGACTCCCTTGAAAGATTGGTTTTTAATTTGTATTTATTCATGGTTAAATAAAGTTAAATAAATCTACACATGTCACACAAACATGTTTAAATAGGTAGAATAGAGAATAGCAGGTTGATAGAGCCAAAAATGACACAAACTCAAAAGATTAAAATAGTGTCAATACAAGTGTCGATACAACTCATAATCCCTAAAGAACAATGTCAAAACACATGAAATATCAAGATGGATATAAAGTACACTAAGTTTTTAGAATGCTAGGTCCAGCATATCTCCTTATCAAAAGGTTAGCACACCTGAGTCCATTTTGAACAACACGGTTCCTACAGGTCCTCCAGCAGGAACAGGCAAGATTGCACTCAAACAACACTGGAGGTTCCCATTCACAGAAGTCCAGTGGTAAGCGACCCTCCTGCAGAAGCATACAAAAACCCCTTCAATGTTAAGTGAAAGCTTTTTTTTTTAGCCTGTGTATTTATATTACATATTGAGCAAAAACAAAATATTAAACAAGTCAGTTGGAACCTTAACCGTAAAACAGCTACAACTTTTAAATGAAACAATTGAATTTCTAAAAATATATATTTTGGATCCATCAGAATTATTAAACAATTATTTATATAGTATATAATTATCCTGCTTCCAATCCCTACATGGACACAAAAGGACTCCACACCAATGGGTTGAAGTTATGTAAGACAAAGCCAGATCCTCAATAGAAGCCAAATGAGGTTGAGTATTGGTCAAGCTTTTTAGCATTGGATCCAACTTAAGGAAGCAAAGGGGCTCAGGGGGCATATATTTGTTTCTGCTTTTCTTCTGAACTGGTATGTTTATTATTTGGTTTTGCTAGCATTAGTACAAACAGTACAGCAGGTAAGTGTGCCACTTACTGGCTGCGAGAAGTTAAAACTGTAGCCTTTTAATTTAATATAAACTGAATCAATTGTTATTTTCTAATTAATGAAATCTTATGTTTAATATTTAAATAGCACAAAAGCAATGTGCCATGAATGATAAATGATATGGAATAAAGAGGTATTTTGTATATACAGGGCTATGATAATAAACAGAGCTAAGCATATGTGACTTTCGATAAGGGTTTTTAGTAGTGTAAATATGTGGGTCTGGACTTACACTGTCATACCAACAACGCAGACTAAGCTGACCACACAAGCAGGAACTTGATGAGCAGTCGTCTGTACACCTGCAGTGCTTTGTGAGCAAAAACATTCATACGTTACCTATTTGAACATTTTACAATGTAGAACAAAATAGAACAGGAAACATGCTTTATGCCTTATCTGCTCTAGGAGAATCCTTAGACTAAGGGGTAACGGCTAACCTGAAAATGAGTAATGTCTTTGTCCATATGCAGGGATGAGTTGAGAAAGTTGTCTTGTATATATTTAAAGTTCTCAGGACATGGTTCATTGTCAACACCATTAACACAGCTGATAGGAACTGCCTCAAATCCACGGGAGATATCCCTAAAAGAAAAAAACAAATACTTTTTCAGCGTCTGAAAACGGCATGTCCTTTTTGTCGCTTTCAGAAGCTTTGGAAATATAAAAAAAAAGTTCAATGATGGCTTAAGCATTTATAAAATTAAATCAAATATAAATATTTTACCATGAGTAATTAAATGTAAGCTTTGTATTGATCACAACAGAACTGATAATGAGGCTGCACTGTGAGAGAAAAAACCCTAAAGATGTTTAAAGTCTGGATTTTGTGGGGGAAGGCCAGCTTTTGACTGCAAAACATTCTCACTCATATCTCGTCAAATACTAACATCCTCTGTCAAAGCTCCTTGTGCATCACATACTGAGGCAGCTGGCATCCCTCTCATGATATATTGACACCTAAGGTAAATGACAGATGCTGGACATTGTTACATGTGACACGAACATGACCAAAATGAAATATTTGTTTACATTTAGCCTACAAAGATACTGTTGGTAGCCTTAGCAGTGTATGGTAAAATGCATACTGTCAGGACTCGGCCTGCTCAGCCGTGCAGCTTGCTGCCGGTTCTCTCTCCTCTGTTTACCTTCATTGGCACAGCACTATTTGAACAGCGCACAGACAGCGGGAGGATGCCAGAGTGTTACCGTTGCGGTATGCCAGATCGGCCACGGCCTCTTGCCAAAGTTACCTTGTCTCTAGCTTATACGCCTGCATTTGTGTCTCCCAGGTTCTCTCTCGTGAATCCTTGTCTTCTCTCATGGCGGATCCCTGCAGCTCCTCTCTGGAGCATTCAGAGTTGGTCACCCTGTCTCAGGGTTCCTGGCTTCCCCCGTTTCTCCCTGGTTCCTCCCGCTGGTTCTGATCTCCGGATTCCTGGGGGCTGCTTGGACAACTCCACATCCCCCGCTCTCTGGTCACGCTGACGCCTGTCACATCACCATCAGGCAGCACCAAGCCCTCACTACTTCCCTCCGGGCCCGGTGTCCACGCTCAGTGGTAAGCTCAGCTCCGTAGGTTTTTTCCACCAGAACTCTCCGCGGTCTAACCTCATCTCTTTCCTTCTTAGACGAAACTGGTTTCCTGGCAGCACCCCAGCTTTTGTAGTTTTGTTGGTTGGCGTTTATCTCTGTGATCCGTTTGCCTAGTGTTAAATAAAACCCCTGAAACAATACACGTTTTCCGAGTGTGTTTCTGCATGTGGGCATGGCACATCAAGCCAAACATGACAGAAGAACACTCTGACAAAACAGACCCAGTGAACGCACTCGGTAGGGCGTTAACCACTCAACAGGACCAGATTCGGGGTTTAGAAGCCACCGTTCTGGGGCTGCAGAGTCAGTTACAGGGTTTCGCAGCTCAGATCAATCAGCTGACTAGCGTGCTAAGCGTGAGCCCCCAGGCAACCGCTTCCGCAGCCCCTGGCTCCGCCCACTGCTCCGCGTCAGCGGAGACGTGGTTCTCCGCCCCCGAGCCCTCCTCGCCCAGTCCAGAGAGGTTCTCAGGTGACAGCGGAGATTGTGGGGGATTCCTTTTCCAGTGTTCACTCGTTTTTAACCGTTCCCCCACGTTTGTACGCCCAGCATCATGTCTAAATTTCTTTTATTTTACGGCTGTTAACGGGAAGAGCACTAAGATGGGCTGAGTCCCGTTTTCCTGACTGCCAGCGTTTTGGCTGCACATTTTAAGAGTTTTTGTCTGAATTTAAGATGATTTTTGCAGCCGATTCTGATGAGGTGCAGGACTCATGGCGGCTCTTAGCTCTTCGGCAGCGGGGTAGACGTGTTGCGGATTTTGCCATAGAGTTCCGGACCTTGGCGGCTGTGGCAGGTTGGGAGCAACGCGCTCTCAAGTCAGTGTTTTTCCAGGCTCTTGACAAGTCTCTAAAGGACGAATTAGCTCGGCTAGAGGAACCTTCCACCTTAAACGATTACATTGCCCTAGCGGTTCGTTTAGATAATCGGCTTCGGAGTCGAAGTCGTCCAGAGAGAGCCACCTTTAGTCTGCTGCCTCAGCCCGATCGAAGCTCCCTGAGAGCCGCTGCGGCGCCGCCTTCTCCCCCGGAACCCATGCAGCTGGGCCGGGTGCGGCTCATCCCAGAAGAGAGACAGCAGTGCATGAACTCTAGGTTATGCCTGTATTGCGCCTCACCAGATCATTTTATTCGGGATTGCCCAAAGAGCCCAAAAGAACTGGTCCGTCGGTCGTAGCGGAGGAGCCAGCGGACCAATCTCAGTTACTTTTGTCTTCACCTCCGTGGGTCTGTCTCCAGGCTGCAATCATTTCTGTTCAGCTGACCTTTAAGTTGTCAACCCTCGTTGATTCAGGGTGCGATTTTAATTTAATTGATCGGTCCTTTGTCCTCCGTTCTCGCCTCGAGACGGTCCCTTTGTGCACGCCTCTCCAGGTTTCCGCCCTGGACGGTGGTGTTCTCCCTAGATTAACCCATCGTACTAAGCCTCTTGAACTCGTGGTCTCTGGTAACCATAGAGAACGAGTTACCTTTTTAGTTTTTCCTGTTAAGCATGCACCGATCGTTCTTGGTTTCCTGTGGTTGCAGCTGTATAACCCGCAAATAAACTGGGTCGACCCACGTGTTAATTCTTGGTCAACCAGATGTCATGCCGAATTTCTGCAATCTGCTGAACCGTCTAGTCCGCCTCCTGAACTGTCCTGTGCTCAGGTTGATCCTGAGAACCTGAAACTGGTGCCTGAGCAGTATCATGATCTCAAGCAGGTCTTCAGTAAGACCCTGGCCTGCTTGCTTCCGCCGCATCGCCCGTACGATTGCGCCATCGACCTCTTGCCAGGTGCCCCGCTGCCAACCAGTCGTCTCTACAATATTTCTTGGGCCAAACGTCAGGCGCTAGAGAAATATATCAAGGAGTCTCTAGCAGCCGGGCTAATCCGCCCGTCGTCCTCGCCTCTCGGTGCGGGGTTTTTCTTCGTTTCCAAGAAGGACGGCTCCCTCCACTGCATGAAAAGTGGGATTTTCCGTCAATATGCGGCACTGTAGATTGTCGTGGAAGTTCAGGTTAACGGCAGTTTACGGTAATTTGCAGGCATCGCCGAAAACTCCCATAAATTCTCAGAAATTGACGTGGGCTTTCTTAGGCAGTGTTCCCCCCATGCCTCCCCCCCATGGAATTCTAGGGGAGGCTTTAACATGTCAATGAAAATGCTGTCAGCTATACAAATGCAAATCAGGGTTGCAGGGTTGCAAAGTGACATTTTTCTAAAAGGTAAGAAAATCTCTGATACAGAGATCAGGCTCAGTATCGGTCTCCGCCAAGTGACGTCAATTGTTTACCTCGATGCATCGTGGGAAAACAACCATATTAGGTGGAAAGTCGAGATAACCCACACGCGGCTATTCTTTCGGCACAATTATTTACCAGAAATGACACAATCGTGTTGTGTGAGAGGCTGCCAGTCCCGGTGTCGTGCCAAGGTAGTTATCCCTGCTAAAATTTGTATCCCCTCGTCGGGAGCGTGCACGGAGTAGGAAGAACAACCCGAGTTAACTCTGCTTCAATTCCAACGTGCAGAACTTGAAATTTGAAAGGTTTTACGTGTATGAAAGTTGAGCTTCACTGTTTTATTCTTTACTTCACATGTTATAGCAGAATATCGCCAGTGATATTGATCTAAAACTAATAATAAAACACAAACGTTTGCTTGAAAGCTGGTCGCTGACAGCAGTGTCTACTCCTTTCTCTGAAAGCAAACAGATCCTTGTTCGTTTCCATACGTTCCTTAAAAAAATCTCTCATTGTTTCACAGTGTGCAAATGTTCTCATCCTATTGAAAACTGTTGTAAACCATATACTTGTAATAAAAATGAAATAGAAAATGGAGTGCACGTGTAATTATTAAAGACTATATGCAGACGGAAAATAATTTTTTCCTGGTTGAAATTTAGTACTTAAATCTATATTTGTGTTTATAGTAGGGCTGGGCGATAATTCAATAACGATATATATCGATCGATAGACATGTGGCGCAATAGAAAAAAAGAGGGTCGATAAAAGTTAGATAAAAAAGAAACACAGTTTTCCTTCCTTCTCATTGTAGCCTAGCATGTAGGTTTATGCTAGTCACTGTTTCCTCCCAACCAATCACAATCGCGGACCCAGGCATGCCGTCACCAAGCGCCGCCCTCTCAAACCACAACACAGAGCACATGAAGCTGTGCAGCAAGGAGTTTTGTAGTTCAGCAGTCTGGCAGTATTTCGGTCATGGCAAGTCGGACCAAAAACAAACCACAGTCATCTGGAAAATGTGTCGGGAACCAGTGAAAACCAGTCTGATAACGAAACCAACTTTTTTTTATCATCTCAGCCGCTCACAGCCGCAGGAGTACGAGCTGTGTTGGCCCCGGTGCGGCTCTCCTCCGAGGAATCTTCGGAAAATATATATATATTTTCAGTTCTGGGCAGTTTCCCACTTAGTTCTAACAATTGAGATAAAAATGCTGAGGGGCCAGAAACTTCAAAGTAATAACTCAGGTTAAAGCAGGAAACGGGGGCGGAGCGGCGGTGGGGGGGCATTTATTTATTTGTTATATTTATTTTGGTCACTTTTCTGGTCACTTTAGTTTATTCTTTGTCAGTATTTAATAACATAACTCAGGTCTCTTAAGTTATTTTTCTTTAAAACAATTCTGTTACGGTTAAAAAAGTTGGTTAAATAAAGATTTAATTTGAAGTCTGTGTTTGTGTTTTTTATTAAAATTAAACCATTTAGCAATATTATAAAAAGTCCAGGCAGAGCTGCACATAAAATATGGTTTCAAATCTTTCCAATAATTATCGATAATATGCATTTTTTTTATCGATAAGCTTTTTTTCTATATCGCCCAGCCCTAGTTTATAGTAACGTAAAATTTATCTATGTTGTACTGTTTGTCTTCTAACATCAGCCGTTTTATTTCATCCCATATTGTCAGAATTGGCAGTATGGGATGAAATAAAACCTGCTGTAATCTGTTCCTTCTGTCTAAATCAGACAAAAAAGGTCCCAG